AGAATTTTTTTTTTTTCAATACAAGTTTCATGTTCGGAATCAAACGCTCCCTAATATTCTTTTGAAATGTTAATATTTGTCAAGTTTTATTTCTTTTGCAGTAATTACATAATATTTTGCCAGAATATTGATATTACGTACATAAATTTATGCTTATTCAAGAGAATTTAAATTATTAAATTAAAAGGTTAACAGAAGAAAACTTCTCAAATGATGAAATATGGTCTAATAAAATTCTTTATTCGGGAGCAATTAATAATCCACTGCAATAGTAACATAATATGAAGTTTAAATTTTCTAAATTTGAGGTTCTTCAAGAGCTAAAAAGTATTGTTCAAAAATATCAGTGAGTATAGAATTATGCTTATTTAGGAGCCACATCATCATTAAATATTTGTGCTCTATTCAAGAGAAGTAATACTATTATATTTTTCGAGATTATTAAGCATACGATTCATTACTTTTGAAGAATATATTTCTTTATGTTCTTGAATAAGCACAAATTGAACAACTCAATCTTGAGTTGTGAATTTTATTGTGAATAACTTTTTATTTAGTTAATATTGAAGAAGAATATTAATTATTGCTCCTAAAAAGCATAACACTCTATATTTCAATATTCTCGAAACATATTATATTATTGCTCCCAAATGAAACATAAACCTTATTAAGATTTAAGATGGATCATCAAGTGCTTGCTTAGCATGTAGATGCAACTAGGCATACACAACAGACAATACTCCAAAATAAAAAGTACCTCTTGAAATTAATTTTAGTAAAAATTATTGTTAATACGATATCAAGTGGAACAGCTAGTATTATCTTACCACATAATACAAAATTAAATATTAATGATGCACTTTTTCCAACAAATCAAGAAGAATTTTGTTTAACTTTAAATATATCTGCTGCAATTAATATCACATTAAGACATTGCAAGAAAATACTATTATTTGCATAACATCTTTTATGTCTTGCCAGAGCACATAAAAGAAAAAAAATTTGACACCCTCACATGACACGTACCACATATACACAAAGATGGTAGAATCAAACATTATCACAAACTCAAAGTTTGTTGACCAAAAAAAAAATTATTATTTGAATGATTGGTTAGACCATCCCAATCAATAATGATACTAATGATTATTGAAAATACCAATTAAAAAACTAAAGATTTTTTAATTAATGAATTCTCACATACTATTTCTTCTCAAGGTATACAGACCAGTAGACTTTCTGAAAATTAATCATGGTGATAAAAGGGGCATCATCACCTCCCATGTGACCATCTAAATATTATTTATATCTAATAAATACATCTACTCGAATATTATATATTCGTAACCTGAAGTTTGGAGATTACATGCTAAAATTTTAAATTATGAGAATAATTTTCATATTATACCTTCAAGATGATGTGTCTATTAATACTAGTGAGTCTATATCCAAACTTGATAAATCTTAGTTAGGACAGCAATATATGATTTTACACAATTGATGGTTAAGTGACTCTAATTAATTTTTAAACCATTATTATTGAGAAGAAAAATACTTTCTATATCTAGGGATGGCAACGGGGCGGGGCGGGGCGAGACGGGGTAGGGGCGGGAGGGCAGGGGCGCCCCGTTTACTACCCGTTTAATTTTTTTTTTTGATAATTTATTTTTATTGCCCATATTCGTTAGATTTAGACAAATAGTTTTAGTTTTTATTTTCTATTAGAACTAATGAGATTTCGTGAAATTTTTTATTTAAAGTATTGAATTCTAAAAATTAAAAAATTAAAAAAAAATTAACGGGGTAGGGAGCTCGTTACTCGTCCTCGCCCTGGGACAAAATTTCCTGCCCTGAATATTCGATTAAGTGAGTTATCCCCGCCCCGTTCGAGACTGGGCCCCGCGGGTATCGGGTTTGTCAGGTTTTTTTGTCATCCCTATCTATATCTATCTAATGACTGCTATTTTATATGTTGTGAAACTTATAGCATCATGTTAAAATCAAAGTTCATTATGCTATATTTGACTTATGGTTAGAGCTAATATTTCGTATAATGATTTTGATAGATATATGTATATTTGTTTCACCACAATGTATTGAGATGAATATTAAAGAATGATAAGAATGTGTGTCTAGTTTGCTTATGAAATATTTTTAAACCCTAACGAGTGATTTTTATAATGAGGTTTGTTGATTGTCAATTTAATTGAACAATTTTCTCAGCATTATGGAGTGAAATTAAGAAGCTAAAAATATATATAATAACTTATTATATTTTCTAGATCATCACAAAAAATAATTCGAACCAAAAGTTCGAAATGTAATATTTAGATGCATTTACTGATCAGATACATAAACAATATTTCATACTCCAATTTTAAATACTCCAACTTGAATTAGTGTCATGATGAGATGACAAATCGTTAATGTTGTATTTGATAAATTTATGAAACACCTTAGCATAATGAAATTCAATTATAAGACAAAAATATTTAAAAGAAAAATAGAGCAAAGAAGGAAAATTGTCCCATTTGGGATGTGTATATTCTTGGAGAGAATATAAATATAACTAATTATAAAACTCTACAGTAGGTTCGAGTACTTGAAATATTGAAAGTGGAGATATCTCAATAAGTTATGTAGTCATGGAAAAGAAAAGAAATGGAATTGAAAGAGAGAATTGTCAACAGTTTTGTACATAACGTACAACTTCATATTATGAATAACGAGGATAATAAAATAAATATGTCAAAACATATCATCGGAGAAATGATTGACCAAATAAAATAATGATTTCTAGCAAAAATGAACTTACTAGAGAAATTGGAAATTTCTTAAACTATAGTACAAATACTTACATGTGTATATTTATATGAAAAAGAAATGATAAAAATAAAGCCCTAATATGTAGTGCAGACTCTCAACATAATTAACTTTGTAAATACTTGTATAAATAGATAAATTATATTGTGATAAATGCAACCACAAGTCCATATCTTGTTATCCCATCCTAACAATGCATGAAGTTTAATAGGTATAGAATAATATGGTTATAGACAACTCATCTAGCATGATTATTAATACTATAATTAAAAGATTTAATAAGCCTGAAATATATAATTCAAGTGATATTATTGTGAGGGAAGTAAATACCCGTTGTACTATGTTTTCTTTGACGAAGGTTATCCCATTAGGCTTTTTTGTTAAGATTTTTAATGATACAACTTTTTGTAGCGTACTCAAAAGAATAAATTATTTTTTCCTTTAGTAGAATTTTTCTCACATGGTTTTTCTAATAAATTTTTAATGAGGCATGTTCTTTGTGTAATAAATATCCATAACGTAAAAGATAATTACCCTCAAAATAATACTCGTACATGTTAAAAATTGTGTACAAGACTCTTGAAAAGAGCAACACTAAAATTTGTTTTTCAGTAGACCATCATGTTGGTTAAAATCAAAAAATGATAGATAAATATCTAGTAGAAGATTATATTACTTGAAGGCTATTACAAAATAACATGAAACATATTTAACTAGAATTGTGATATTGAAATATTAGTGTACAAGATATGAATGGCTCGATACAAACATTTTCGTTTATGAAATCAGGAGAGTGACTCTTCTCATTTTTCAATCAAGTTTTATTCTATTGGATTTTCTTGACAATATTTTAAAATGCATCACTTCATTACTCCAATTTTGTTATAATTGTTTGTAATATATTTTTTTTCCTTCGTTTAGTATTTTTACATTATTGTATAAATAGTAATTAGATGAGAGTTTTATAAAATTATGGAATAATATTGATGACTAGTATTTAATCTTATCGACGCTTAAATTTGGACTCTCTCTCTCTCTCTCTCTCTCTCTCTCTCTCTCTCTCTCTCTCNTCTCTCTCTCTCTCTCTCTCTCTCTCTCTCTCTCTCTCTCTCTCTCTCTCTCTGTATTCTTGTTTTTCTTTAAAGTTTTATAGCATACATTTCTTTTCTCTGTTTTGAATGGGACATGTAAATTTCCCTTTATCCCCTGCCATAAAACAAAAGCATTGATCGATCAAATTGACTTACTTAAGTTATAAACATAACTGGGGTTTGATGTAATTGTCAATGATTTGATTTTATTGAATCTTCAATAAATTTACTAATAGATCAACTAAAGTCAGGTAAAAGAATCAGAGTTAATTATGAGCTATTTTCATGTAATTGTTAATATTTTAATTTTATTTAATAGAAATTTAATAATAGGTCGTTGAGTTAAATTTATAGAATAGTTATATTAAATTCAAAAGTGCTTCCAAACAATATTAGTACATGCGTCAGACGAAAAAGCTCTACCTTCAAAAATTCGTAAATAAAAAATGTGAAGATTCATCGACTAATTAACTGCTTATTAAAATTTGAATAAATACGGAGAAAATGTGTTTCAAAATTATGCATTCCACTGCAATCTACGCGAACTTATCTTACGTGGCTTACTAGTTCATATTGTTTGTATTCATGTTGATATTTAACTGTGACACGTGACGTGCACAAAGAGTTTTTGGAGTTTTTAGTCGAATGACTCTTAGTTAACTTTTAGAAATTTGAGTAATTGTTACTATTATTTACTTTAATGATTATTTTGAAAATTTTAATAAACTTTAATGAAGGTTTTTGAAGTTAATCCATAAAATTATCTTATTTACAATATGTACTACAACTATAGTTAAGTTTGGTGCTCATGATTAGATAAAAGTAACAGCATAAATATTCGGAAACACGATACCAAATCAAACACTTGAATCCATGACAAATCGAAGGCCTTTTTGACAACAAGACAACAAGGCCTAAACAAAAACAAAAGCACATTCACATAATCTAGTGTTGGTACACAATTAATTTAGAAAACAATAATCCTTAAGAAAAACAAATATTACATTACTTAATAATGATTCATTCTCATAGGAGGAAGGAGAGGAAGAATCGATTCGCAACATTCCATGGACATTACCAATATCGTTACATGTTGACATCTACAAGAAGAGAAAAGAGAGACGTAAAAATTAGCACAAGAAATCATAATTTTATTATGCATTTCAATCTAAAAGAGTGATGAGAAGTCATCCACAAAATTTTTCTAAATACAATTTTTTTTATTAACATTAATATAGTCATATATTTGATTCAGAGAATGTTTGAGAAAAGGATATAATTAGAAAATTTATCGGTTACACAAACAGACAACCAAAAATTAATTTGTATTATCCCATACCATCCACCATTATTCAAAATTCTTAGTTGGTTTTGTTCTCTTTTAATTTCTCCATTTATATGTGTGCCAAATTGTAGTTAAATGTAAGCACGTACAATTTTNAAAATATTTATATTTATAATTGAAATTCAATTTCACATTATCTCACATCAAAAGTCAATAGAAAAATAGAAGATGGCATCTCCTTTAAAAAGGAATATAATGATAGTAGAAGTTATTATTGGGCTTGCTAGGAAAAATATGTGAGTCTCAAGTTAGTTCAAAATTTTTTTTCCTAATTTTTATTAATTTCGGATTGGATTATCGGATCGGATATCCATTAACATTGCAAATCGGATATGGATTTAGCAATTAAATATCCGTTGGATTATCGGATCAGATCGAATCGGATAAATTTTCTTATCAGATCGGATCAGATATAGGCAGATCCGATCCATATCGGATCCATTTACGGCCATAGGAATATGTGGTTAAAAAATAAGGAAAAAGTTATTGAAATATTATTTTATTGAAGAATGTGTGGTTGAAAATGAGTAGAAAAATGAGAATGTGGCTCAAACGGGACTAAAAAAAAGAGACTTACTTTTACAAATTTCATAAAACTAACATTTTATATATATATATATCATGACCAAGCCCTCCCCTCATACCACCCCCTACTCTAGGCCTCCACCACAACTCATGTAGACCCTCTCCCCCAATTCACTATTTTGACGTTGAAAAGAAAACATAATGTCGATTTTGATTAGACAGGGGTCGATTTAGTGAACTTTTATCCTAAACTAAAAACTCTCAAATGAAATTATTCTGACAATTATTGCATTTGCAAACAAAATGCAATTCAAATCTAAAGTTAAAAAGAGAAATGTAATTAAATGAAAATTTGTTTTCAATAGTGGAATAATAACACATTTGAATGAAGTTTTGATTTCGTCATTGACTATCACATACCATTAACACAAATAGTGAATGATACTAGGCAAAATTCTAACAGAAGCACGAAAAAATAATTTTTTTTCTTTTTTTTCAAACGAACGAATAAATTAAAATGAATGTACCTTGAGATTGAAGAAGTGAAATGGATTCATAGATTTTGCCGTCTTCAAAGGCAACTTTAGGTTTAGTATTTTGATGATTGTCCTTGTTAATGTTTACTCCTATGTCTGGATGAATCTTTCTCTTCAACATTCTTGTCATCAGCTGATCAATCAAATCATAACAAAATTAAACACCCTGTCATAAGCCTAATGAAAAATAGGACCAGATAAAAAGGCAGAAAATTTAACAATTACTTGGTGCAGTTTTTTGATAGGACGAGAATCTTCTCCAACTCGAGGGACAAGTTTCTTGGCGAAAGTAAGTCGACGCTTATAATTTGCTTCTGGAGCAGACAATTTCTTATTGTATTCTGGCTCCAATAATTTTCCCTTACTTTTCTTGTACTTTTCCTGTTCATCAGAATCAGCATAGAACAAATCTGCTAGTGTAATTCTCTCTTTCTTCATGTTCTTCATATCGCAATCTGAATCAATGGTGTCCTTTGCAGCATTATCACAGGTTGAACCCTCAAACTCATGTGCATAAGCTGCATGCATCAATGGGTTCGACTCTTGGTCTTCGTCGTCGTCTTCTTCTGATTCGTCAGTCACGTCACTTTCATCTTCCTCTTCTTCGTCCCTATATAGATACTCTTTTTCTTCAATATTAATCCGATTGAATCCAAATGTTCCAATTGTTAGTATTCCTCCTTTCCAACCATGGAGCATGTCACCAAGTGCAATGTCTTCAAGTAGGATATCTTTATCAGTGTCTTTGGCATTTTTGTTCTCATTTCCACCAATTCCATCTGCCAAAATTATTTTTAATTAACCCAAAACAAAGATTAAAAAAAATGTTAAAGATAAAAATGTAAATAATTAAATAAAGGTAATGATATTAGCTAGTGATACAGAAAAATAAAAAAATATATAATAAAATTGGATTATGTACCTTTATAATTAAACTTGCGGTGCACCCAGTTGAAGATCTACAGAAAAGATGGAATCAAACCAAGAGTAAATGTTATACGCATGCATGTAGCAAAAATTAAGAACGTTGACAACCAATGGAAAATAAGCACGTTTATATACATGTACCTTCATTTTTTGTGCAAAAAGTTTGAAGTTGAAATGTGCAGCCGAGAGAGGCGGCAATGGGAGGAATTGGTAGTGGCGAAGGGTGAAGTTCGGTGGGGGGTGTGCAAAACCTAAAATGGACGAAAGGCTTGAATGGTCGAGACGTATTTAGTTATAGATGGCCCGCTAGTATAGACATGTTTCAAGACTCCATGGCATGTCCCTCATGAACATTAACATCCTTCTAAATGGCAGCTTCGATGCAGACCAAATTCTTGAAATGACCTATATATAGAATAATGTTATGTGAGAGGGGTCCACTCGTGTTTAATTAGCATAAGTAACAACATTATTTGCGTGAGAGAGAGGTAGAGGGAGCAAGTATAGGCCACGTAAAATGAATTTTCTTTCTTGTGGCCAATTTCTCGGTAGCGGGTCGCAATTTGGATAATTTAAAGAGTTGTTGTAGATCAAAAGTTAACATAAAGTTTTTCACATATTATTCTTACATGCCTGCTCTTCTTTGAGAATTCATGCTTTTATGGACCAATATTAAAGCATTAAAGTGGTCAATTCCCCTTTACAACTATATATATATAGTGATGCCTTTTTAATGATCAAATATATACACAACAATGAGCCTTTAAAAAAAAAGGTTTATAACATAATTCATTTTTTTTTGTAACTCCAATCGATTTGTTGCTAGGTTTACTAGAAGATATAAAAAATCTGCATTACTTTTCCATTTTTTTATATGTTCTGGTGATGAAAATAATATTCTAAAGCTTTTGTATGTTCTTCATTACTTGTACGGATAAGACTTATATTATAGAGTACATAATTTTCTATCATGGGAATCAATTTTTTGTCGCATAGTGCTCTTCATAATAATTTTGTAAAGCTTCCGCAAAGAAATTCATGATGTTATAAGAAAACAAAGATTTAGTGAAATTTTGGCTCGGAGCCATGTGATTTATATATCGCAAAAACATGCCCTAGTATTCCTCGCGGTGGCTTGGATACACCGATATGCTTAACACAAGCTTTCATTTGATACAAAAAGCAATCCTGATATCCCGCAATTGGAGTCTCTTCACATGTCCCTGCTCCTCCTTTTAATTGGAACTAATTTAAATATGAATTAAGCAAGGTGTACACCTTGTTTGACATCCATCTATATGTAAAAATTCTAGTCATTGTTTGGAAAAAGTGTTATTAAAATCAAGGGATAATTACAACAAAAGCTCCAAACTTTTGAAATACAGTCATCAGCCATAACATTTCCAGATGTTGCAGGTGAAGCCCTTTTGGACAGTTTACATCCATAATTCTGTTAGTTGATAAAAAATTTAACTTTGACCACATTTTTAATATTTTAAAAAGGGGTAAAAGAATATCTTTCCATTTATCACATTAAATAATAAAATAAAATAAAAATACACACACACATCGGTGTCTTCTTCCTCTCGGCCCTCACCCACCCCCACTTCAAACTCAAAATTCACACCCGACCACCGCCACCTCCACCTCCACCTCAAACTCAAATGCCCCATTAGAAGAACAAAATGAAGATTAATTAAGAATTTATTCACAGTGCCGCTGTCACTTAGTATGCAAATACCTCTGTGCCGCCGTGTGGCTAAAGTGGACACACTTTCTTGAATATCACAGCCGTCAACAACCTCCATTACATGTGCTCTGAATGCATTTGAACTGTCTAGAGCAATTATTATAGGGGGTTTTGGTTTGTTCTTTGAACCGGCGGGTCTGCCTCTAGGTCTTTTTGTCATTTCTCCTTCTTTGGTGGCCGGCACTAGCTCTTCCCCCTCGCCACGATCTCGCTTTAGACTGCGGTTCATATTGTTGTTTTCGCTTTGTTCATCTTCAAGATTCTGCTGACGGTACAGGAATTGGTGGTGGTGGTGGTGGAGCTCAAGATCTCTGGCGTGGAAAAGAGGCAACAAAGGGCGGCTCAGTTGAAATACACGCCCGCTTCTTTGAATCATACAGAATATGTATTAACATAAGTGATTTCAGACGTAAAACAAGGGAATTTCTCTATCTTACAAGATAAGATTTTCAGAATTTCTACCAAAATTTTCCACTTATTTTCAGAATTTTTCGATTTGATTTTTGGTTAATTGTTCTTTATGGTTGCTGAGACGAATTTGAAATATGAGATTTGATTAATTATTGTTTAATTGCTCATTTTGGTGGCTGTAACAGATTTGTGATGTGATAAGTCTCAGAGATCAAGAGAGGCATTCAAGCATTTCATGGAAAGTTAAAACCAAATTCTGGATTAATCTTTCTTTCTATTCTTCTAATGGGGCATTTGGCTTTGAGTTTGCGGTGGAGGTGGCGGTGGTCGGCGTGGCTTTTGGATTTTGGTTGGTGTGCCAAGACTCTATAAGACTTCCTGCGTCAAGAAATTATCGTAAAGGGATAATGTGTGCATTTTTTTTTTAAATTTAGTTATTTAATGTGATAAATGAAAAGTTATTCATTTGCCACTTTTTAAAATATTAAAAATATGGCCAAATTAAATATTTGGTCAAATGACAGAATTATGAATGGAAATTGTCCAAAAGAGTTTCACCTGCAACATTTGGAAATGTTAGAGGTGACGGTTGCAACAAATCAAAAGTTTGGAAAAAGTCTAATATTTTAAAGGTTTGGGGCTTTTGCTACAATTTTCCCTAAAATCAATGCATATAATTCTGCCAACTCACATGAGTGTCAACCTAGGTGTTAAGTTAGATGTACATGTAGCATGATTGATAATTGGACAAAGATGAACCTGTCATTTTTAGTCTTTTATGGAGAGGGTCGTTGAACTATAACTATTGTGATCAGTTTTAACTAAGTTACAATTCACTTTTACTAGGTTGTCGCTCCTAAGATTTTACCTTGACTCGTCTTCTACTTTCACCGATGGTTTCTCGTAGGCTCGGCTCACGCGTATGCCTTTTTAGATATGGAGACATCTTACCTCAACTTAGCCTACATTCACTGCGGAGGCCGTACTTATCACTAATTAGTGCCTTTTACTATTGAATGTTTAAGCCACAAATTGATATGACTTGTACATTGGTCAATTCTCTTCCTCTCACTAAGTTTAAATTGTTTAATTAAAGAATTTATTTGTTAAGATCTTCAACAAATCGTGAAGGTCGATTATCTTTTTATATAATGGATGCAGGAAAGAGTCAAGCACAACAAAGAATTATAAAATTCAAATCTCCGAAAATATTGTAACAATTTTTCTTGGTTAAAACTACCTAAAAGGTACATCAACTTTTACATGGGCTCCTATTAATTTATTAAACAAATAGAAAATTAATGTATTTTGGACCTAGAAAGTGGGTTTCACACAAAACTCTTAATAATTTATTAAAATAAAGTAAATATTCTAGCGTATTTTGGAGGGGAGGGCGAAGAGGACCTCCACCATTCAAAATTTGAAGTAAACAAGACTATACGAATTTTTTTTAAAAATGAGCAAATGAAAAATTTGCTAAAGGAACTTCAAGTCTACGGGCATTTGATATTCAAATACAGAGATTAGTGAATTTGACTGGATTTTCACATCAAAGACAACCGTTCACATATTTGGGAGTCCCTGTGTTTAAAGGGGCTAAGAGAAGTGTTCTGTATGATGATCTCATTATGAAGGTCAGGAGTAGGATTTTTGGATGGGTTTCACGCATTCTCTCTCCTGGTAGTAGGATTACTCTATTGCGGTCTGTTCTTTCCTCTATACCACTGTATCTATTCGAGATTATTTGACCTCCTAAGGTTATTTTGAAAAGGCTAGAGAGTATATTTGCACGATTCTTATGGGATTCTAAGGATCATGCGCATCGTCTACATTAGCGTAGTTGGAAGGCGATTTACCTTTCTACTGACAAGGGAAGTCTAGGCTTTAGACGATTACAGGATACGGGGAATACATTTTCATTGAAGATATGGTGGTTGTTCAGGTCTCAGAGTTCTCTTTAGGCTCAGTTTCTACTGGGCAAATATTGTAGAGGGACACATCATTCGCTTGCAGTAGTTCCTCACTTAGCCTCTCCTATTTGGAAGAGACTGAAGAAATTTGGACCTTGTGCCAAAACACACATTGCGTGGCGCCTTGGGATATGGAAAATATTCTTTTGGCATGATTATTGGATTGATAATTCTACATTGACATCTATTTTTCCACATAGACAACATACATCTGTGAGGGTACAAGACTTTTTCGAGGAGACTAGCTGGGATTTTGGACGATTACTTCAGGCTCTTCCATTAGCTATGGCAGAGTAGATCTCGACTATTCCACTATGTCTTGATGTCTC